TGTGACGAGGAAATCAAACGCAGATTAGCAATAACTCGTAACTGGACTATAAAACTAACACGAATATGGAAAGACTCCGCGCAATATCCCAGCGCAACAAATTAAAATTAGTAAACACATTGACCTTTCCTATCGCTTCTTATGCATCAGAGACCTGGACTCTAAATGTAGGCCTAGAGAAGAATGCTGCGAATTTCATACACAGAACATCAGACGAACGTATCAGTTTCAATGCAGTTGAAAATTAATACAATACTTTCATGCAAAATAAACCAGTCATACCTTAGGTACTTCGGGCACATTTCGAGAAGAACAGATGGATTGGAAAAAATCACAATCGAAGGGAAGATTAATGGCAAACGACCAAGAGGAAGATCTCCGACGCAATGGGTGAATCCAAAGAAATTATTGGTCACAGCCTGCAAGAGGCCTCTATAGCCGCTCAAGATATGGAGAACAACGATCAGAGCAATTGAGACATGATGTCACCATACTCTTTCGAGAGTTAACGAACGAGAAGAAGAAGACTAATGTTAACTACGATGTTACTAACTTACTAGAGCCAGAGAGTCGGTTAAATGAAGAAAGAATTGCAGTTTTGTGAGGAAAAAAATACTCGCCTTTCGGATTTTTGAAAAAGTTTATGGATTACTAGATATTTCGAAAAAAACAATTATGGGTTCTTTTAAAAATGCTTCCTAATTCAATTATATTCTATTTTAGACAAAAAGTTTTCAAATAAAAGTTGTATATAATCACATCCTTAATGAGAGTGTGTTCTCCGTTTTTTCTAAAGCCTGTCATTTTTGAAATATGATATAAGCTATAATATGTTTATTTTTCAATAAATACTGAGATATAGCCAATTCTTATCATTTTTAAACAATTTCACTTGGTTAGCCATGGAAACAAGTGTCAATTCGTTCAAATTCGGCCTTGCTCTCGGAGATTACGAACTGTCACATCCAAACGAAAATATTTTATCGAGACACAACTAAATTGTAAATATTAGTTTTTTTCAAATGAAGAAAAGCGTGTGGGTTCAACTCTTCTTGGACCATATATTTTCGAAGATACTTACGTTGACCGGTGAACGTTTTTTACGCATTTAAGGGAAGTTTTCAAGATATGTTAAAAAATTTCAATTTAGAAACTCGCGCATCAATAGAGTGGTTCCAACATGACTTTCATTATAACACCCCTCCTGATAATAAAGAGTTAAGAATTATTCATATCATAATTATTATGCATACTTAGGGATAGGAAGTGGTGAAACAATTGCGTGGGCCTCCTCGGTCACCTGACCTATCCGTTTTAGATTTTTTTATGCAGTATGGTTCAACACAAGATTTACAAGAGAACTTATGAATGAAGAGAGGTACTCAAAGAGGCAGTACGGGAGAAGTTTAATAATGTCGACTGCCATTCTGTGAAAAAAGCTTGTAATTCAGTTTTAAAAAGATGCATTTTCTGTACTCAAAACAATGGCGGATTTTTTGTTAAAATATCTTGAAGTGTGTATGTAGTAAGTATTAGTTTTTTAAATTTGAATTTGTTGTAATTTGTAAAGAACTCTTTAATCCAATATTCTGTCTTTTTATAAGTTATAAATCAGTAATAGAATAAGAATGCCAACCAACTAAGTGAAATTAGTAAAAAAATATGAGATTGTGGTCATAACTCTAAATAAAGTAATTTTTCGAACAAAACATATTATAGCTTATATCACTGGAAAGCTAAAAAATTGTGCTTTCTATGAAGTCATGGCCAACTATGGTATCCATTTAAAAAAAACATATATGTTTGTGTCATATGTCAAAAATGACAGGCTTTAGAAAAAAAACGGAACAAGACCTCATTAAGGATGTGATTATCTACAATTTCTATCTGAAAACTTTTTGTCTAAAATAGATTATAATGGAATTACAGAGCATTTTTAAAATAGCTGAAATTTGTTTTTTTTTTCGAAATATCTAGTAAGGCCTGAGCTTTATCAAAAATCCGAAAGGCGCATATGTTTGTCCTTACAAAACTGCAATTCTTTCCCTATTTGACGACTCTCTAACTTCAGTAGTTTCCGAGATACCCATAGAAAACATCGTAGAAAACTCACCCTGTATAAGAAGCAAAAAATCTATATCAACTGTCACTGTCATATTCTCTTCTTAGACAGCCTCATATAACCTTCTCTCAAAATGTGTCGTGCTCGTTTTAAGCATTTTTTACTGATCTAACAAACAAGAATTTTAATGATATCAAATCTCCATTTTAGAATGCAATATCTATATACACATATCGTAATATGAATTCAAAAGTAACTATAATGTAATTTTTTAAACTGTTATCTTAATAAATCAGAAATAATGTATCGATCTATTATAAAATACATAGACCCCAACATGAAGCTTATCTAACATTTATTATGTAAATTTTGCGTAAAAATGTATCAATACAAATCTGATAAATTTTTAAATTTATTTTCTACATGAATAGATCCGCATGGCACATAAGAAATGTGTAATTTGTCGTGCTGTTTTTTTTTGTTCAACAGCATTCTTGTATTTACACCATTTTTTGAATTGAGACATAAACTTTCACCATGTACTAATTAAGTTAAGTATTTACCAATATTTACGCATTATAGTAAACAAAAGATTAGTTATTAATAATTTTTATACGCCAAATGTAATTTATTATAAGATGTGTAGGTATATATATATATTATAAAATATTTCTCATGTTTATTATTAGAATATACAAATCATGATGCTTTTATTTTCGACCTTCTTTCATCTTATTCTATCATATTTTTGTTTTCAATTAAAATTTACTTCTACATACAAATAACTTCGACTTCGGCATCGGGCTCAATCGAAGGGGACACAGAAACCGAAGTTCAGCTTCGGCTCCGGCTTCGGCCAAAAAAATCAAATTCGGAGTCATTGTCTATGGGTACTTCGGTATCTCGGAAACCGTAATAGATACGAAGATGGTTAAATTGGGGCAAAGTTGCGCCTTGGTATGTTTTCCAACAAGCTATCAAAAAAGTTTCAAAAATTTCAAGGATTGCTGAGTTTTTTGAGAAAAGCGGATTTTTTTGAAAATCAATTTTATTTTTTCCTGTCGTTACTTTTTAGAAAATCAAAAAACTAATTGAACATTCTCATAGCCACTTTGTCAGGGCTATCTGACAATATTTTTAGATTTTCAAATTATCTGATAACTTGTGAGATACATAGGCCAACTTATTTTTTTTTAAATACGGACATGCATTTTTTATTTGAAGTTTTGAAAGAATTCAGTCTCCTGAGTACAACGATATGCCACACTTTATATTTTTTTTGTTTTAGATACTTTAACAACAACAAAACTGTTTAATTATTATTATTTAAAATAATTTCAAGCCCGACTCAGGGTTTTTAGATTATTTAACCTGATTAATTAATTCATCGCAACAATAAGGAAAATCGAGCCAATTGAAAGATTTAAATAAATAATATCCAGGTCAGCAATTTAAAATATATTATTTTTAACTTTTTGTGAATTTGAAATCTCAATGTATGATCTAATAATATGCATAATATTAACCCTAGTTACTATAAATATATTAACTACTACAAAAAAATTTCTAATGCTATACATGTCCGAAAGGGTATATTTAATAGCACCCTCCTTATTGGACATATTTATTTTTCGTTCAATTTTATGTATAGCCCTTTCAACAGATCTTCTTATACTTCCGAATGCATTTCTTTGTTGTAAGTGTTGAGGTATATTGATTTCACTTTTATAAATGACGTTAGCACACAGGTTCAGCCTCGCTAACCATTATTTATATTATTTATTTTATATTATTTTTATTATTTTATTGTATTTGAGTTTCCGTATTCAATGATTTACCTCACGTCATTGTCAGTTTTAAAACTCCTCAATATTGTAACAATGAATAGATTAAATATTTAAAAAAAACAGAGCCGGGCTTGAAATTAGTTTAAATAAATTATGTTCAAATTTCCGAAACAAAAAAAAATATTAAGTGCAGCACATCATTGTACTCAGGAGGCCGAGTTCTTTCAAATACTAAAATAAAAATGCAGGTCCGTATTTAGAGAAATCAAGTTGGCATCTGTATCTCACAAATTATCAGATAATTTAAAAATCTAAAAATACTATCAGATAGCTCTAATAAGGTGGCTATTAGAATGTGCAATTAGTTTTTTGATTTTTTAAAAAGTAACGACAGGAAAAAATAAAATTGAATTTTAAAAAAATCCGTTTTTTCCAAAAAACTCAGCAATCCATGAAATTTTTAAAACTTTTTTGATGGCATCTTGGTGAACATCCCAAGGCGCAACTTTGCCCCAATTTAACCATCTACAGACCTTAACCGTTAACCATTACGTAGTACGTAATAGATATCACGTAGTTACATGTATATATTGTGTATACAGGGTGAGTCTTAAATAAGTGCAAATATTTTTATGGATGATATATTTCGACCCCAGGAACAAGTCTATTAGTTTTTTTCCGCAAAAAAAGATGTTAACAATCGTGCATTTTCTTTTAAATTTTCTTGTATGTATAGGTATATTAGAAGACTTTTTAGACATGCCTGTTCACCGGAAATTTTCCCACGGTATAATTTCTTAACCTCTGATATTACCATGGTTACGGCACTGAAAGGGATGAAAGAAGGGATATAGAAAAAAAACCGGTAGCTCTCAAATTTTTTTAAAAATAAATCAATTTTTTTTTAAATTTCAAACTTGAATAACTCGTTTATTTTGGACTTATTTGAAAAACGACAGAGAGAAAATATGATTCTTTTATCGAGATCTACCATCAAAAATATTTGCAACTCAAATCTTTTAAGACTCACCCTGTATAATCTGTCAAAATACAAAGTACCCGTTATCATAAATATAATATCTTTTAGATCATATATTATGCTTCTTCAGATTAGAACTAACTATTTATTATGTAATAAATATATATTTCAGATTCCATTGGCCACCAGCATGAATCACTTGATTGTACCAAACGCTGGTCTTGGTTTCGCGATTGGCATGGTAGACTCTTCCATGATGCCAGAACTGGGCTATCTCGTTGACATTCGACATTCAGCTGTTTACGGAAGTGTTTATGCCATTGGTGATGTAGCATTTTGTCTTGGATTCGCCATAGGTAATATATTTTTTTGTGTTGTACTTTTTTTACTTGATGTATTATTATTACAAAACAGTTAACATAGTATTAGAACATATATTTATGTGTGTCAGCTTAGAAATGTCAATCGGATTTTATATGTAAAAATATGAAGAACGTCATTGATCGTCGTTCTCAAAACATCTTGACGCCGTTTTTAACTAGTATCATCATAATCATACATACATACACACTATGTATAATTTGGATATTTATGTTTTTGTCTACTCCTATTTCTGTTGAAATATACCAGTAATGCCTGTCAAATTCAAATTTATTATATTGTTTTATACAATATCCGTCCACTAATAGTTATTTGTGTTATGGTAAAAGGACATATTTGTCGCATAACGCATTAGTTTTGCAGCTCGAGATGAAGTCGAGAGCTACTATTTCATACTACTACTATTTCATAGCGATGACTATCAAATGAAAATCGCTGTCATTTTATATGTAAAATTATATGGGAAATGTCATCGATCGTCATTTCCAAGCCAACTGGACGCCGTTTTTTTCGATCATACAGTAGTTATTAGACTGAAATCATAAATTTGAAATGTTTTTGTGCCGAAAGTTCAACGGAAACTGTTTTATCATCTTTTTTTTCGAAGAAAAGTTTATGATTAATTTAAAAAATAAAAAGTTTCTAAAATTATCATTTCAGTCAAATAACTACCCACTCAACATGTTTATTTTTTGTCATTAATGACATGTATTGACTATTTCCATTCTAAATATCTTGAAAACTGTTGCTCGTAGCGATTTTTATCAAGAGGCATTGTTTACATAAAAAATCATGGAAATGTATATTTTTTCACTCGGTAGATTTCGAGGTAGATTTATACTGGTACGTATAAATCTACTATAATTAGTGGAAACACATGTTGATGGCGCCCTCTGTAAACAGGAGTCATATTGACATCAAAATTAAATTTCTCATGCCAAAAAACTCCCAGACACCAATTTTCATCCAAATATCTATATTAGTTCAGAAATTATTTGGAAAAAATCGGAATAAAACTGAAAGTTTTACACCCTGTATCTCCGAAACTAAGCATTTCAGGACATATATTTATACGAACTTTTTTACTTATTTTTATCTGCAGAAATGCTGCCGAAGTTTCCGGAATACAGTTCGGACCACCCTGTATATCTCCCTAATCCAATATGATCATTGATCATTACAGCCATAACTATGTATGTACCACTAAAGTGCGTGGTAAAAAGGTGGCAAGCATCAAAAATTACATATTTTCTCCTCTACCTTTAAAATCTGCACGCCCATAAGCAGCAGGATTTTTGAAAACATAAATCTATTTATGGAAGTTAATATATTACAGTAAATATTACATATACTGCAGTAGAAAATTTAAAATGCAATAAGAAAACAGTAGATTTTATGTGTAGGTTTTATGCAAAGTAAGTGTATTACTTTCCATAAGTTCATCAGAGCGTATATCGTATCTGGTACCTACAAATTTTAGTTATCCTATAATAAAATTTAAAATTTTAGTCTGGCATTAATTTTCATGAACATATTAGATTTGAGCAACTAAAAAACGCATTTAATAAAAAAAAATCTATTAAAAAAATTAATATTAATGGACGTCCATTAATTACGTAAGAAATTTTGGGTATTTTTTGACCCCCCTCCCGCCCCCCCCCCCCTAATGAGATTTGGTACGTTGGTATATGACATAAATTATGATTGATTTACGCATTCAATTGTTTTTTACCTCTTCCTGTTTCACAGGAAATGACTACAACTTTTGATTTTTAAATGGCACCATCGGTATATGTCTACTTTATTCGATAGAAAATGACACTTTGAATAGAATGACATATCATATGTGAACTTTTGACATTTTTGCTTAAAAATAAATCGTATTCTAAATTTCAATCTAGAGTGCCATGGCTGTGTTAGATACACTAATTTAATCAAAAAGCCTTGGAAAAATAATTTTGATCGTCTAATGTTTTTTTTTTGTTTTGTCCTGGCCGGTTAAAAGATGCTCATATCGTATTTTTAATCGTATCTCAATTTTTTCAAATGAATAAGGGTGGCTCATTAGCATATTTGGGAAAAGCCAAAGATATTAAATATCTTTGGCAAAAAGATTTTTTAGGAATAATTTAGTACCACACATTTAGTATTTCAAGTCAAATTGTCGTTATGAACCGCATGTTACAATTTCAAATAAACCATAAATATACGAAAATGTGAAAAGTTGACATGTAATACACATAGACTTAAAATAAAATATAGACTGAGCATCTCATTCATAAATAGCTGGAACATGCGGTCAGACACTGTCTTGTTATTGTTGTGTTATTGTTTTAGGTTATAACGAGTGCGACACGAGCGATAGATAGGTTGCCTTTGTCGTAACGGTCGTTCCCTGACGACTCTGCCGAGAAACACAACACTGTCTTTCGTTTCTCAAGTACACCTGAACTCTCCGTATCATAGTCGGGTAATTTTTTTATTTTAATGAAGCTATAATTAAATTAAAAATATATCGTATTTAAACTTTTTTATATTTTATTAAGATTTAGGACAGGTTTTTTAAATAAAAGTTTAGAAAAAACAATTTAGAGTCCAAAAGGATAAAAATAATAAAATACACGTTATAGAAGAAATTTTATAATCGAAATTAGGTAATTTTGAAATTAATAATAAATTATTAATTTTAGTCAAACATTTACAACCCCTAATATTAATCAAAACAGGATCTATTCCACAGATATAATAGAATCGGCGACAGGGAGAGAAAAAAAAAAATATGATTGTTGTAATTTTTTTTCTGGTTAAGTGATGTCTTATTATGTAAATTAGAGAAAACATAAATCTGTTCCATTAAAGCAAGGAAGGTGATAGGAAGTGGATAAAATAAAAACTACATTTATTTAACTCGGTACTGTCTTTATTATACCGGGTGCGTAAAAAGCGGCTCATCCCCATAATTTTTTATATTTTCAAATAAAAAACAAGATTTAGTATGTTAGTATATGAAATAAATTAGGATTGATTGACGCATTCAATTGTTTTTGGTCACTTCCTGTTTCACCGGAAATGACTATAACTTTTAATTTTTAAACGGCACCCTCGGTATATTTCTACTTTATTCGATAGAAAATGACACTCTGAATAGAATGATATATAATATGTCAACTTTTGACATTTTCGCATATGGTTTAATTGTAATTGTAACACGCGGTTCATAGCGACAATTTGACTCGAAATACCAAGTGTGTGGTATCAATATATTCATAAAAAAATGCTTTTTCCAAATATGCTAATGAGTCACCCTAGTTCCATTTGAAAAAATTGACATATGTACGATTAAAAATACGATTTGTACACCTTTTAACCGGCCTAGACAAGACACGAAACCTATTAGACGATCAAAACTATTTTTCCAAGGCTCCTTGATTAAAACTTAGTGGATTGAAAAAAACTGGATTGAAATTTAAAATAGGATATGTTTTTAAGCGACAATGTCAAAAGTTGACATATGATATTTCATTCTATTCAGAGTGTCATTTTTTATCGAATAAAGTAGCAATTTAGAGGGTGCCTTTAAAAATCAAAAGATGTAATCATTTCGGTGAAACAGGAAGAGACCAAAAACAATATTATATTATACGTCCAATAAATCCTAATTTATGTCATATACCTACTAACATACAAATCTGTTTTTTTTATCTGAAAAAATAAAAAAAGTTATAGGGTTGAGCCACTTTTGAGACGACCCGGTATATTAAAAAATATTGTTTCATAATGTAATATCATTTTAAAATTCTTGTATGTTATTTTAGATTCTGAAGATAATTTTAGAATAAACCGGAATATATTTTTAATAAAAACATTATTTATTATTAACAGGGTTATAATTATGATTTTGTTACAATGTAAGTAAGTAAATAATGTAATGTAAGAGAAAAAAATCAGATTTTACATTTTACTAAAATATTATCTAAATAAGCGCCTTTCTACAACAACGCCACTGACTCCCAATGGGTAAATTGAGAGTTGCCTACCGGTCAAAAGTCGTTTCAAGACTTAAATGGATTATTAAAGTCAAATTTCTTGCAAATTTGGCACTGGCGAACCATATTTTATAGTTTTTGAACAGAAAAAGTCAATAAAATAAACAATTAAGGACTACAAGCTAAGAAAATGCGTTAATACAGCCGCGGAGATAGCGGCAACAAAGCTTTACCGCACACGTGCGACACGTACTACAAGGTAATAAATGAATGAATAGGCTCCCTCGCCTCTAATCGGTGTTGTCATATTGTAAAGAACTTATCCTTATTAAACAGTATCCGACTTATAATTTAGTAGAATAAGGACTATTTAATACATCTATGGAATATAAAACCTACTTTATTAAACTGTAGTATTAATATCTCAATATATGTGTATAACAAGAAAAAAAATATTGATAATATTAAAGACGTGACAACATAGGCTGGATGAGGAAGGCTCGGTCGACTGTACCCAGAAGTAAACATGTGTACAAAAAAGGTTGTTTGTCCGCGTTGAGATGTAAATAGTGTAGTCTATATTTTATTTTAAGTCTATGGTAATACATCATTCTATTCAGAGTGTCATTTTTCTATCGAATGAAATCGTCATTTTCTATCCGGTGAAACAGGAAGTGATCGAAAACAATAATTGAATACGTCAATCAATCCAAATTTATGTCATATACTAACATACCAAAACTCGGTTTTTATCTGAAAAAAAAATAAAAAAGTTATAGAGGTGATGAGCCACTTTTGAGACGCACCCGGTAAACATACACATATTATACAGTATAATTTTCAGATACAAATTAAATGATAAGAAACATTTACTTTACCTTTAATAATATTCTTTGTCACAATGACCAAAACTTACAAACCAAAGTAATATCAATGCGTCTGAAGCTGGAGTCTTAAAGATATTACCTAACACCTATCAACTCTGTTCA